TGCTACTACCACGTACGAGACTTTGCTAGATATGTTCAGGGTAGAAAAGCCCTCGGAGTGACATCAATACACACGGAGATAGTTTTCCCGCTTCCCAAATCCATTCCGAAAATCTATTCGAATAGCTCATGTAGTATATCAATTTTTAAATAATTGAAATTCAACATTTGAAGTTGCTTGCTTCCGCTCTCGGTCTGTTTCCAATCCAATTAATCAGTTCGACAGTGAAGCCAAATGAAATTGCGCAAGTAAGCGTTAGGATTTTCTCCAAATTTATGAATTTCGTCAGCTGAAAAGGCGACAAAATCTGGACCGCTGTTGATAGACGCTGGTCGCTAATTATTGTTCTATTGTTCAATCGATAAAAAGTCTCCTGAATCTAGTTAGATATTATCTGCATTTTGTTATGTCAAAATTGTCACTGCGATGCTTGTGTTGTCGGTGTGAACACCAGGCGAGATGGAATTTTGATTGCAAGGCGCGCGTGCTCATTCCTCGGGAAACAGGCGCAAGCCTATGACACGCTAAGGTTCCGAACATGAAATTGGACAGAAAAACGGAGATATATTCTCCCAGCGTGATGGAATTTGAATAATGTTATTGCGCTGGGGATTTTCGCTTCAACAAACTGTGATAGACCAGATTGTTAGACGTGTAGCTCGGTATTCTACTAATTAAAGGGTGTGTGCTGGCATATATAGACTTGTGGAATTATTATTCGAGAGGTATTTATGTTTGAAAAGCAAATATATAATGCATGACCAGTGTAGCAATTACTGAAATGCTTGTTCAGAATTTTTGCCTTTATTTTGTGCTACATTTCTATACCCATTTGCAATTCTGTAAATGGGACTCACACTGAAAATTTTATCATTATAGGGATCATCAATATTCAAGAAGAAAATTGTTATCGCCATGCGAAAATGAACCCTAATCGGTAATTGGGGAACTTAGATGTTTTGGCGGTGTGTAGTAAAATATTTTATTGTTCACCACGTTTCCACTTAAACTTAGCTTGTTAAGACCAAGACTTTATAAATGATGTTGGTGATCAGGCGGTTTCATCTTATCTACTACATGAGGTTCGGACATGCCACCTGTAGCTCACTTCAATCGTAGACAGATTGGTTGTAGCCCACCCTAACAACGTATCTATCCAACCGAGGTCGTATGAGGCTTACCACTCACTGCTGAACCAAGTGCAGAGGTCATCAACTACCCCGGAAGAACACTGGGATTAGGATTAAGATTAAGGACCCACCGGTTCACTGTTCATCTCACTATAGTACGCAGAAACACAGAAACACAAACAGCTTTCGTAGAGTACGAATGAACTTACCTTCGATCGGGTGTTCTTGTTCGGTTCTGGCAGGTGGACAGTCTGATTCTGGGTCATTGGTACTTTCCTTGCAGCCAGTGATACACCACATGCATTCCTCGAACTGCTGCTGCATTCCTCCAGTTGTCCATTTGGTGTCACATTCTCGGTTGGGTGTGAATTATTGGCACATGCAGTCCGTGGTTCAGATGCTAATTCATGCGCTTCATGACCGACAACTTTGGTGGGCTTTTGACCCATCTATTCGAAGAAACCGGGCAGTGCTAACTATGGAACATGTGCGGGGCAACAAGCTGAATAACGCGCGTGATAATTGCACATGGGATGTCGCTCGCAGGTGGTTGCACTAACCATGGATCAGCGCCCCCAAAGACGATTCAGTTATACCTAACCCGAATTCCCGGTGGCCAGAGCACACGCACAGGTGACACGCATTAACTCTATTTACTGGCAAAGTGGCCTGTCTGTTCTGGCCCAAATACCTCGTCGTAATAATCCCACAGATCTGGGAGCCTCTGAACAAAACACACTACAGCGAAATCATCCGTGCGTGCGTGATCGACTAGCACACGCACACACACACACACGGATGTGAACTGATGTGGGCAATTAAGTGAGCGATAACTGATCCATTCAACACTCGGTATCTGCCCCACGCACGAAGGCAAAATACATATATGCACACATACACACACCCGGTCGCACACACGCGCGCGTGCCTCGTGGACAGACACGCACACAAACACACACAACCGAGCGCTGCCATTCGGATACGGACATGCGAATATACCGGAATGGGATGGAGTGTGTGCTTGTGCGACGATTGAAGTGCGTGCATGCGTGTATATGCGTGACTGTTCCCACGACTAATCAGAACTCACTCGGTTTACGACACTGAAGATGAAGTAAGGTGCTATGTCGTCTAGATACCATGAACGCGAACATGCCCAGCATCTATCATACAACGCTCACGCATTTTGTTTGCAGTATGATAGAACAACAACTGGGAAAATGTAAGTCGGCTTACATATTCTATCGGGTCCGAGAAGAGCGCAAAGAATTCATACGTGTAATCATCCCACAGCGGAGGGAGGGGGCAATGGAACGACGCGGTAAGTACATCGACACACGCGAGACCTTGGATACGCGTCCAACTGTAAGTGCTTGATTGTTTGTGCTCTTTGCTCTCTGAGGGGGGCGGTATGAAATTCATCCAGTTGACAACCATTAAACGGTCGGTACAACCATCAACAACAATCTGTTTCTTCCAGTGTGTGAGAGAGAAATGAAATGGAAAGTGAAAATAAAAAAAGAGTGAAGCGCATCTGACTGAAATTGAACAGCTCCAAATCTCTTCTACTCAACTCCATAGTGCATAGACGAAGAACTTTCCGATTGGGTCGAACTAGAAAAGAAGGCTCGCGTGAGCAGCCGACTGAAACACACATATGCGATTTGGACGCTATCCACTTTCAAAACAGTGGAGAAACATTTCTCGTGTCCACAGGCAGAACATCACAATGATGGTTTAGTTTTACTAATAAATGTTGAATAAAAATGGAATTGGTGGAAACACGAATGAGAAATAAGCACATACTGCTGATCCGTACCACGAACGAGAGAAACAAACATAGTCAATTCGTGATAAAAATAAATTATTCAGCGAAGCCAATCTAAGTTTGGAGTAACGAGTGATATTGTCACTGATTCCTATCCATTTCGGGAAAAAGTGAAAAATAGAAATTACTCTCGATCACTTTCCCACAGTAGTCGTAACTTGTATTGAATAACGTACAAAATTGATCAATTATTTACAAAATATGAATGAAGTAAATAGGCAGTTGTACAACCATTGTCCCACATCAAATACATTATTCCTACTGAACACGCGGTCCATGGAAAATCAGGCTTTGTTGCTTCTTTCGACCTGAGCTAGGCACGTTCTAAGCACTGGATTCGGAAAAGCTTGATGTTGATCAGACCTGTTTTGAATCTCGGTGAGCAGAAATGTGCGAGGCTTCTTTTAACTAGGTGGTAGCGTGACGGCAGAAAATGTGAACTGACCCTTATTTACAAATCCGTATGCTAAAATGAGACAAAAATAACTCACTTGTTTACATGCCGTTTTAATTTTGTGAGTTTATGTAGTGAGGTAGCGTACAGATCAACCCTGCCTTACCTCATGAGGTCTTGAGTACGCCTGTGCCAGACACACTGGCGATTCTCGATTATAGATGGTTAAGCAGTGAGGGACCAGGAGACACCGACGGTTATCATCACATAGTTGGAAGTGCTCTGAGGGAAAACCGGTTGTTTAAATTAAACTGCAATGAGTGGGGGTTATGTTTAGGATCCGTTTTGTGAAACCCAAACAACTATCTACTGTCCGGTCCCACTTTAGGACAGCGAAACCACTTATTGATCAACAGATGACTCGGAAACAAAATATGGAGAGCACACGGGAAACGTGACCTTAATGATTAACTCTCATTTTAGAGTTTGAGGACGTACAATCGACTGCTGGAACAGGATGAAAAACCGTTTGAACAGCTGCCCGATGATCGAGAGGTTAGTATACTTACGTTCTACCTTTGGAGTCCCGGGTTCGATCCCCTGTCAGGTCAATAGATTCGGACTGCTGATGAAACCTAACCAAATCGAAACACCTGTACGGTACTTCCTAGCTTTTTGTTTCACATTTCGTTTTCTCTATGTACGACAAAGTTTACCAATTTTGTCCGTCAGTCGTTACTTCGTATATTCACTCCTGTCACTGCCACTATGGTGATGAAGATAATACTAATGATGCTGATGATGATGACAACGATTTGGATGATAATGCCAAGGAGAAGGAGGAGGAGGAATGTCTTTAGAATCGGCAAGATATGAGCAGTTAGTTGTATTCGATTCCCCCCTCTACATCCCCAAAGTTTCTTCTCTTTTGCACCCCACCTAAATCTAGCCACCATCTGTTGGTTGAATGGTAGTTCGCTGAAGATGTGTCACATGATCAACTTATGCATACAAAGTCGCTACAGTCCCTTATTTTCTGGCTATTTGCGAATCCACGCTCAACTCGAGAGCGAACACAATAATGTTTCTGAGTAGCAAAACAAAATGTGTGCCTGTATGTCGCCGTGCTTTCCAATTCCGTTGCATGTAACTAGTTTGTGACATTCACAACGCCCGCGTAGTGTTGAAACCCCAGTGTAAACTGTCTATGATGGATGACTTTGCTTGATTTTTATTGTCAAATCGCGATCGGTTGTTATCAATAAAATCAGTGTTATGAAAAGTTAAGCAAATATGAAATCTGCCCCTTCTCTCACTTTCCACCCCGTTGCCCGGGTGTATCCTGTAATCCGTTCAACCAATGTAACGTCAATCCGAGCAACGTTCCACACGGATTGTAACATTTCGACTGAGTAAGGTCGAAATTTCAGTTGAGTTTAGTTCCACAACAGAGCATATCGATACATGTTTGAAACCTACGAAGGTGTTATAAGTCTCAGTTGGAGAACGGCCAATAATGGAATCAGTCACGGAGGAAGAATGAAATTGTGTGTTTAACCAATATGTGAACCTCAAAACGGTCAAATTGGGCGGTCCACCAAGGAGAAGCAAAGGGGTAAGAGCAATGAAAGCAGATTAACCAGGAAAGTTATGTCCACAATAGACACAGAAAACCGGTTGTAACAAAACCAGGTTATGTGGCTCCCTTTGGTTGCTGTTTAGCGTGAAATATCCGTTTGATTCACAGTAAATAAGTGAAACAAAACCCCTTCCACTGAAAGGATGTTTCTTTGATCCTCATAGTAACAGCCATTATTGATAAAAAGCGATTAATAATCAACCATTCACCGCCTGGTTTTTAATTATATTTTGATTTACCCTCTCTCTCGTGATTCTCCCGAATGGCTGAATTTCGCTACCTAAATAGTTCAAACGAAGTTTTTCCGCCTGACAGGATCCTCCAATGCAATCTTCCGCAATTGAGCCCAGATTGTTTTTGTTTTCTGGTGGATGAATTATCAGTTACACCATTCATCTATTATCGTTAAATACATCGACCCCGATAAGCATATTGCAAGCACAGGGATCAGCTGAGTGCTAAATTCGGTATAATTAGATCTTATGGTGTGCTCTTTCTCTCGTGTAGCCAGCTGAATACCACTGCTCATCCGATCGATTCAGTTGTTCACCTTCTTGTGGATCGTGGAAGACAAACACAATTTATCCATCACATCAGGGGCGAGATCCGGCTTTGCGACCCGCATTTTGTTACAGGGGGGGGGGCATATCTAGTATAGAGCTAGTATTTCTCGATGCTTTCATTTTTGGTTTAAAATCCAAGTGTGAGTCTACTGCCAATTGTAGTAGTAGGTTTGCAGCTTCGGGCGCTCAACGAGTGGAAAACATTCCTTGCTCAGCCATTTCAACTCGGTCAATGTCAGTTTCCGAGATTATTGTTTATTAATCTTCCCGATACCTTAAATTCTTTACTATAAACTGATCTGCATGACGTTGGTTTATCCCATCATTAGGAGCACTTGAATTCTCCCTACACCGACCCCAGTTGACCAGTAGTCAACCTTTGAGCTAAAACGCTGAGGGTGCATTTGTCAAGGCCACTACTACTCAAGATGCAACCAATGTTCTGAAACAGGCAAGCCCGCATGACAACACACGCAACATTAGCAGAAGTCCTGAGTATTCACTAACACGAATGATTCTCCGTGAAACAGCGTTCACACAGGCCTACCCAAGTGTAACATTTGATTGCTGTCGTAAGAGGAGGGTTTAAAACCTAGATTCATCACATGACTAATCGACATTTTCTGTCAACATAGGTATTCGAACGGACGATCATGTTATCACAAAGATGTGCGCTCCAGTGGTACAATCAACCGAGACCGGGATCAAGTGTTCACTCGGAGGGGGATGAGTGGATGGGAGGAGACCATGGGATGCATATGTTCATAGGTTATTGTGCGGTTCTTACATAAAAAATGAAAGGTACTAAATCTCAGCTGAGTGAAATCATGAACGATGCAAAAGGACGGAGAAAGGATACCTTCATCAGTTTTGACACCAAATGCGCTGAAGTCGTATCGTGATAGCATCACAACTGATTAGTGATTGAACCTATAAAGGCTTTTGATTATTCAGTTAAATGCCTCAGTACGCAGGGCATCACATTAAATAATTTGAAAAATGCGTTCGAATTCACAATCTCACTACTGAAAATACTATCGGGGAGTTGGAAGTGGTCAAGAGGTATAGGTTCCTCTTGTGATGACTAGGATACTACATCTTCCAATTCACCACATAGGCCCCTTTTTACACAAACAGTATGGTTTAGTTGGCTTATCGTAGTTGAAACTAGTCAGCAATTTGCACTATTTTTGTGTCTCGGACAGAACCGGAACTGTGAACCTTTGGGGCGGGGGGGGGGAATCCAAGTAATTATCTATCAGGTAAACGGCCGACAGTCAAAAACAAAGAATTTCAAATGTTTGCTTATATGAGTCTATTTCATTTCACAGATACTCCTTATCGCATACGGTTTTCTCAATTTTCCACAAAATCTCAACAAACAATTTACCAGTGAAGATAAATTGAGCAATAACTATTGTTTACGATCGCTATTTTTTAGGGTGGAATTGGTGCAATCCAATGTGATACGTCAATTTTTCATCAGGTTATCCGTCGATACCTCAGCTACGGTCACCCCCGCCCCGCCCCGCCCCGCACACACACACGCTGTCATTCTGGTGTACACAAAATTTATCCTATTGTCAAGCGATTCGAGGTGATGTCAGCTACGCGCAAGTTAGTGCCGACATCATTCTCTGTCCGTTCACAACCGTCATCACTAGATATGCCCGTAGCAAACGATATGAATATTTAATGCCAACAAGCGATGGGATAATTCACAGAACTTTGATTGGAGACACGAACGGTTTCGCACGATCTCTTGTCGCACAAATCTTTTTCAATTAGAATTGGATTGTTTCATTGATATCACCGCAAAACGAATCAGCCCATTAATGTATTGATCCTTTCCATGCATATCCCTAACGCTTAGCATTCGTAAAATTACTCGAATGGATTTTCGGTAGGCTCCGTTCTTAGGTGGATCAAACCAGGTCAGATGTGAGTAAAACGCGATGATTTTGAAAGATCGAATACTTCATCTACCTCTAAATCCCAAGTTGTTCTGTACAAATGGATTGACAACTAGCCGATAAGGGACACAGAAACCGGTATGATCACTTTGAGTACTGTAACTACATTCATGGTCGAGATGGTGGGATGCGAACGCCTGCAATGACAACAAATACACTCGTTCGCTTTCTACTTCAACCTTTTTGCTATGAGGACAAAACAGCAAGTATCCTGATCTCAAACTTGGTTACTTCTCAACAAACAGGTAGATAAACAAGCCTTCTTGTAGCTATTGACTATCAAAAGAGCTTTTCCTAAGAACTAATTTGAATTCCATGTGTGTGGCTAAATTCCACAGAGTGACCTAATCTTGCAATGAAAATATTACTACTACTACCACTGCTTTTTTTCTAGAAGACCGATACTCGCTCGTGGAGACTTGTTCATTCAGAACCATAGTTAGGGTATGGTAAATTTAGCGTACATGTAACAAAGTATCTCATTCTGAACATGTCATCACAGCACACAGAATAAATATCATTTTGCACTCGACAATTCGCTGTAGGAGGTACTGTTCATTTTTGACAGTTGAAGAAAACGGCCAATCGCATTCTTTTGCATACTACTCACAAATGTGATTAGTACACTGCAACACTACTGCTAATTCTGAAGTGTTCTTACCGTGACCGGAATCGGCGAGTTCAATTAACGAATCCTCTGAATACCGTGATAGATCACCGATTCGTTCCATATTTGCAATCTCATGGACAGGAACAGCACGTATGAACTGTTTGATTCGGAAATATATCAAATATCCTCTCTGTTTGTTTCCACAATGGTTGTCGGACGGATGTTCATCTTTTTTCTTCTGGCAGCACATGTGTACATCCAGGGATTCAGCCGATGCATCGATCAACTGACAACAACTGTGTGTGTAACATAATGCACAAGGTATAGATTTCTGATCAAAACACTTATTTGCAAACACGTTCATGTCAGGTTTCATGGCGTGACCGAAGAGACCGTGTGACGGCGAGAATTTATTGAAACAGCCAGGTCCAATTTCTTTTTGAAAAGATACCGATTTCAACTGGGTGTAGTCTAAAGAGACTATGGAAGCTCGAAAATCCATTCCTGCATTCGAACAGTTCACAACAGACACGATCTTCCACTTGTCATTTGAACGCCTCATTTCGTTGAATTTGTCTCTCCATGCAAACTATTTATCCCAATTTCCATCCTCAGTTTAGTGAATATTCTTAATCCGTGCAATATACGTCTGCAAAGGGATTGTAGACACTTGAAAGGGCCACGCATATAATAGAATAATATGAAATGATCATTATTCGATGTTTGGTGTCTACATGGTAACACGTAGGAAGCAGTGTTTGAGTGTCAGTGCACTATAGTATCATTTCATTTTTATTTTACTTACTTTTATTGAGTATACAAACAATTTTCAGGAAGGGGGAAGCAGCCAATCAAAGGGCTATCATACAGCACATATAACGGGGGAACTCACGCGGTGGAGGTGGGATTCCTCCGAAGTGATAATTTGATGAAATTACTACAATACCTCACTTGTTTTGTGCATTGTATCCTT